AAAAACATAAATCAATTTTGTTTAATTTTGTTTAATTTTGAGACAGTATCCTATTACATAGCCCAGTACATATTTCTATATAATAATAATGAAGAACTGGAAGCTAGATGCTGGTGGCTCACACTTATAATCCTAGCTACTCAGGAGGCTGAGATCTGAGGATCAAAGTTCAAAGCCAGCCTAGGCACGAAAAGCCCGTGAGACGCCTATCTCCAATAAACCACTAGAAAACCGGAAGTGGTGCTGTGGCTTAAGTGGTAGAGCGCTTGCCTTGAGCTGAAGAGCTGAGGGACAGCATGCAGGCCCAGAGTTCAAGCCCCACTACCGACAAAAAAAAAAAAAAAAACCAACAATGTGGAGTGAGCTGTGGCTCTAATAGTAGATGACTAACCTTGAACACAAAAGCTCAGTGACAGTACACAGGCAATTAGTTCAACACACACACACACACACACACACACACACACACACATACACACATACAAACAAACGAGATTAAGTTAGGCAAGATGACTCATATCTGTAATCTTAGCTACTAAGGAGGCGATAAGGAAGACAGTAATTCAAGGGAGGAGAACAAGCAAGGGGGAGAGGAGGGAGTTAATGAGATCCCTATTGCAACCTCAACCAATAGCTGAACATAGTAGCTCACACCTGTCATCCCAGCTACTTGATAAAACATAAATAGGATGATGGATCATACTGCAGGACAGCCATGCCAAAAATGCAAGAATCTATTTGAATAAACAACTAAAACCTAACTAACAAGCAAGAAGCTCAACTCCTAGAAGAGCCAAGAACAACTGTAACAAGAAAATAGAACTAGAGAATGAAATTTTCATTTGATGAAAGCAGTTAGAGCAAGGCATGGTGGTATGCACCTGTAGTACGAGCAACCCTGAAGGGTAAGGTAGGAGGATCAATTTAGACTGAAGAGTTCAAACCCACTGAGTAACAAAGTGATACTACTATAACAACAACAACAAAAAAAACCCACCATAGATTCTTGTTCTTTTCTCCTTTTCCTCACTTTCTCTCTTCTTCCCTACCTCTCTCCAAGATAGGGTATTGCTAGCCTGTAGCCCAGCTGGCCTGGAACTCAGTCTTTCTGCCTCAGATTTGTGTCACAACATATAATTTAGTTAATTTTTCATTTATGTCTGGGGAACAGAACTGGGCAAGATGGGTAATAACTTCATTAAATAGCTTTCTGTTCAACTTGATTTAAAAACCATATGCACTGGGAAGGTGGCTCAGTGGTAAAGTGCTTGCCTTGCATGCATGAGGCCCTGGGTTCGATTCCTCAGCAGAAAAAGCTGGAAGTGGCACTGTGGCTCAAGTGGTAGAGCACTAGCCTTGAGCTGAAGAGCTGAGGGACAGTGCCCAGGCCCAGAGTTCAGACCCCACAACTGGCAAAAAAATAAATAAAAAATTAAAACCATATACATGCATTACATTATTATTTTTAATTTAATGTGTTATCATATATAGTGATTATGATTCTTTTTGGGGGGACATATAACATGATATGTACACTTAGATACAAGGGCCTTTTTGACTAAAGTTTTACAAATTGCATTGCTAATAAAAACATAAAGCAACAGAATGCAATAGGGCTTATGTGTTTAAATCCTCCCATGAACAAGTTATTTATCTTTTCTCCTATAACATCTTCCATTATAAAATGTGGATATTGGCAAAAATAAACTTCCTAAGATTTCTTAAGTACTTAAAGTATCTACCACATTGAAAATGGATATATATACATATATATATATATATATAAAATTTCTTAGTTAAAGTGTCTACTGCATTGAAAATGGATGTTCTCTTCCCCTTTCTTTCTATAACTTAATTACTTAGATATAAATGCTGGGCTGGGGATATGCAGCTGTGGTACAGCACTTGCCTGGTACACAAATATGAAGCCCTGTGTTCTACCCCTAATACAAAAAATAATCTGTTCTACTAATCATAATAGTTCCAGGCATAACCTCATTTTATGATGACAACTTTTGCCCTACTTCCACCATTTGTGTGCTATTTGCTTCCCCTTGGGGACCAAGGTCTTTTCATTTAAAGTGACACTCGCTTTAGTTGATAATCAGTCAACCAAGTTTCCCCACTCTTACTCTATCCCTAAAGATGTGTAAAAAGTTCACTTACAAACAAAACACCAGTAATATTTCACCTAACGTTGGAAATGGGTTTCTAAAATTTTGAATAGCCAAGTACTAGTGGCTCATAACTGTAATCCTAGCCATTCAGGAGGTTGAAATATGGAGGTTCAAGGTTTGAAGCCAGTCAATACCTAAAAGTCCCCAAGACTCTATCTCCAATTAACCAGCAAAATTCTTGGCTGGAAGTATGGCTCAAGTGGTATAGCGACAGTTGAGTAAGCAAGCTCAGCTTGCTCAAGGCCCTAAGGAAAACTTAGCAAGTTATTTATAAACATTTTTTTATAAAAGCAAAAAACTACCCCTAATTTGTCCTAAAGGTGCAAGGCAGCAGCTATAAAGCAAACAAGAAATACAACTTAAAACTAGGCAGCTAGCCAGGTTCCAATGACTCACACCTTTAATCCCCAGCTACTTGGGAGGCTGAGATCTTAGGACTGCGGTTCAAAGCCAGTGTAGGCAGAAAAGGTCCCATGAGACTCATCTCCAATTAACCACTCAAAAACTACAAGTGGCACTATGGGTCAAAATGGTAGAGCACTAGCCTTGAGCAAAAGAGCTGAGACAGCACCAAGGCCCTGAGTTAAAAACAAAACAACCAAAAAAACAGGCTCCAGCATTCATAGATTCCTAATTTATTCAATTTTTTTTTTTTTTTTTTTTTTTTTTTGTCGGTCGTGGGGCTCTTCAGCTCAAGGCGAGCGCTCTACCACTTGAGCTACAGCGCCACTTCCGGTTTTCTGGTGGTTTTATTGGAGATAGGAGTCTCATGGTCTCTCCTGCCCGGGCTGGCTTTGAACCGCGATCTTCAGATCTCAGCCTCCTGAGTAGCTAGGATTACAGGCGTGAGCCACCAGCGCCCGGCTCTAATTTATTCAATTATCTACTTGACTCTGATTGTTCCTCCCCTTGTTTCCCCCCAGCTGCCTTTCTTCCCCACCCATCTGTCCTTTCTTCTCTCCCCTGTTTCATTCATTTGTGCAACTAGCAATCATTTATTGGGTACCAAAAGCTCACCAGAATTGCTCCAAGGTACTGGGGATACTATGCTGAGCAAGCAAGCAAGCAGAAACAACCCAGAGCAGGTACCCTATAGCTCACTCCTTTAATCATAGCTACTGAGGAGGCTGAGATCTGAGGATCAAGGTTCAAAGTCATCCCAGGCAGGAAAGTCTCTGAAACTTTTTTTTTTTTTTGAGGGGGGGTCCGGTCGTGGGGCCTGAACTCTGGGCCTGGACACTGTCCCTCAGCTCTTCAGCTCAAGGCTAGCGCTCTACCACTTGAGCCACAGCGCCACTTCCGGCTTTTTATTTTTTTTTGCTTATGTGGTGCTGAGGAATCGAACCCAGGGCCTCGAGCATGCAAGGCAAGCACTCTACCACTGAGCCACCTTCCCAGCCCTCTCTGAAACTCTTATCTCTAATTAGCCACCAAAAGGCTGGAAGTGGAGCTGCAGCTCAAGTGGTAGAACACTAGCCTATAAAGGGAATGGCTGAGTGGAAGTGAATAGTCCAGGCAGGAATGATGGTGCCAGAATGGCTAGAGAGAAGTACATGGACTTAAATGATCTATGTGGATATAAAATATTCTTCATCAGATGATGGACTCCACATTCAGAGTGATACATGAATGCAGGCAAGAATGTTGGCCTCAGTTTCTGGCCTGCATAACTTAACATAGTGTCATTCACTAAGAGGGGACATCAAGAGGCCTAAACTTAGGGGGATAGCAGGTTTGCTTTGGGATATGCTGAATTTAACACTTGCGAACTAAACGGGCCAACAGATTTGTAGCAACTTGTCTTCAAGAGCAAAGGTAGCTCAGCACAAAGAAATTAGCAAGCCACTGATAGTACATAGTAATGAAGTTATCTGGGGAAAAGAGGGCCTTAAATAAGGGAGCACTTAGTCAACAAAATTTGCATAGGGGTTAGCAAGTAAAACGTGGAGAGACCAGTCAAGCTGAGCCACAGAAACCTAAAGACAGTTTTAACAGAAGGAAGCAATGATCCACTCACTGATACAGGCCAGATACTGCTGAGAATCTGGGATCGATGAAAACTGAAAACTGTCTGTTGGATTTAACGGCTTGGAAACCACTGGTAACCTGAGCCAAAGTTCTATGGGATGTTTGCTTGGAGAGGACTAAAGAACCAAAGGGAGGTAAGGAAATGAAGACACCAACTCTAGACTAAAGTTTGGCTGTGGGTGGCAGAAGGGGAGGTAACAACAGATTGGCTACCGAGAGGTGATGCATGGCTTTTATTTTTGCTTTGTGTTCTTAAGGAGGAAGAAATGTGAGCATGTTTTTAGAGGACAGGAAAAAGGCTTGAGGGTAATGATGGGAGCGACCACCCCCCACCGGCTCCCTCAAAGCATCCCACAATCCCCACCCCACCCGCCGGGGTCCCTCCTTCTGCACTCTGCACGGCTGTAGGCCCATGCCACCAGAGTCTCCCCCCCTTGACTCCCAGGCGTTTTCTCACCGTAATGGCCCCTTCACTCAGTTGACCGACCATGGCTGCGACACGCTAACTCCCGCGCTCGAGCTCTGGCACCGCCCCAGCTTCACTACCGGGGTCCCGCGGGCTGCTCAGCTATTGGCCCAAGGAGCTGCGCGCGCCACTCCCGCCCCGCGACGTGTGCGCGGCACGGGGGCGGGCCTATGCGCCGAGCAGCTCCCTAATTGGCCAAGAGGCGGCAGGAGGCCCACGTGATTCGCCGTAGGCCTTAGTGGCGGGACGGCCATCACGTAGTGGCGGGGCCTAGAGGCGGGACTTCGGAGCGGCGCGCCAGCTCTACGCGGATGTTTCTGGCCGAGGCCTTTGGCAGATGCACAGAATGTTAATCCAAAGGACAGTCGGCGCTGTTTCCTGATAACTCCGCTGCTAAATATAATCAGAGCAGTGACCTGGTTCCACCCGCTGCAGGCCTTCGGTCTGCCTGCGCCAGGCCCTAAGCTTGACACTGGGGGTCTTCTGAAGATAAATCTGACCGGGCCCCTGCGCTCAGAGGAAAGCCACAGTCTGTCCCGGGAGTTAGAGCGGTGAGCATCCCAAACTCTAGGTAAAAGTGATATGGACCCCACACGTGGTGAAATCACAGTCAGAAAACCAGGGAAGGCTTCCTAGAGGAAATGCAATTTGAATTGAGTTAAATACGTGTGGAAATTTGTTAGGCAGACTCCAAGTGAGGATAGGAAGAATAGTCCTGAAAATACATGGCCTATACAAAAACGCTGAAGAAGCTGGGCGCCAGTGGCTCCCGCCTGTCATTCTAGCTATTCAAGAGGCTGAGATTTGAGGGTCCCGGCTTGAAGCCAGCCCAGGCAGGAAAGTAGGTGAGAATCTACCTGCAATTAATCACAGAAAAATCTGGAAGTGGCGCTGTGGCTCAAGTGGTAGAGCGCTAGCCTTGAGCCTAAAGGAGTCCAGGGACAGCGCCCAAACCCAGAGTTCAAGCCACAGGATGGGCAAAACACACACACACACACGAGTTGAAATTGCGAGGCAAGTTGGGGATAACGTTGAGGAACTCAGTATGGTAGCATACCGAGAAAGTGTAATAAACGAGAGGCAAGCCATCGATTTGGGTCAAGACCTTATTGGGGGACAGACCTGCTGGGATGCTCTAAGCGGGGAAGGAAGCAACAGCCGTGGACAGGTGTGGGCAGAATTTAAACACAATTTTAGGTGACAGTCACATGGGTCACATATGTGGACTGCGGGAATTCGGGGGCAGAGTCAGTTCCAAGGTGTTACGCGGCTCGTTGGTGTAGGGGTATGATTCTCGCTTAGGGTGCGGGAGATGTTACATGGGAGTTGGGGGGAGCCTCCTTCTGAGGAGACTGTTGCAACTGGGGCAGTATTTTGTGCATCATACCAAGGAAACAACCTAGCATTGGGGAAATAGAAATTTAGCATATTTTTGTAAACAAGTAAGGGACACAGGGTGGGTACTTTCAGAATTGGCAACCTGACTTCCAAGACCTTAGAGAAGAAAATAATAGAAAGTAAGCAAGGGGCAAGTAGTAATGGGTTTGTCCTGGGCTACTCTTGTTTGCTGGGAAGAGCTTTGATGAAGTTAAGATGGAGGGCTGAGGCCCTGGACACTAGTAGAACACTCTAGAAAGAATGCCAGGAGCTGAGAAGGTGGCTCCGTGGTAGAGCACTTGCCTTGCATGCATGAGGCCCTCGGTTCGATTCCTCAGCACCACATAAGCAGAAAAAAAAAAAGCCGAAAGTGGTACTATTGCTCAAGTGGAAGAGTGCTAGCCTTGAGCTGAGGGACAGCGCCCAGGCCCAGAGTTCAGACCCCACGACCAGACCCAAAAAAAAAAGAAAGAAAAGAAAGGAAGGAAGGAAGAAAATGCCAGACAGGAGCTGGGAAAGTCTTGAACTGAAACAATGACTTGAAGATTGAAGCAGGTGGAAATATTTAACTTAATAGTTGCTGGGGTTGGAGCTAAGTTGTAACTCAAGTGTTGAAGTGCTTGCCTAGCAAATGCAAAATCTCTGAGTTCAAAAAAATAATAAATGAGCCAGGCATTGGTGGCTCACATCTATAAACCTAGCTACTCAGAAAGCTGAAATCTCAGGATCAAGGTTCAAATATAGTCTGGTCAGAAAAGTCTGTAAGAACTTTCCGATCCGCCATCAGCGGTGGGACCGCCGCCAGGATGCAGATTTTCGTCAAAACCCTTACGGGGAAAACCATCACACTCGAGGTTGAACCCTCGGATACTATAGAAAATGTAAAGGCCAAGATCCAGGATAAGGAAGGAATTCCACCTGATCAGCAAAGACTGATCTTTGCTGGTAAGCAGCTGGAAGATGGACGAACTTTATCCGACTACAACATCCAAAAGGAGTCCACTCTTCATCTAGTATTGAGACTTCGGGGTGGTGCTAAGAAAAGGAAGAAGAAGTCTTACACCACTCCTAAGAAGAACAAGCATAAGAGAAAGAAGGTTAAATTGGCTGTCCTGAAATACTACAAGGTGGATGAAAATGGCAAAATTAGCCGTCTTCGTCGAGAGTGCCCTTCAGATGAATGTGGTGCTGGGGTTTTTATGGCTAGCCACTTTGACAGGCATTACTGTGGCAAGTGTTGTCTCACTTACTGTTTCAACAAGCCAGAAGACAAGTGATTGTGTATGAAGTAATAAAAGGCATAATCTAAAAAAAAAAAAAGAAAAAGAAAAGTCTGTAAGACTCTTTATCTCTGGTTAACTAGTGGAGCTGTAGTACCAGCCTTCAGCAGAAAAGCTCAGGAATAACACCCAAGCCCTGAGTTAAGCTCCAAAACTGTCTCTGTCTGTCTGTGTCTCTGTCTGTCTGCCTCTGTCTCTCTCTGTCTCTCTCTGTAATCTCTGTCTCTCGCTCTCTCTCTGTCTCTCTCACATACACACTAAAACATTTGAGCAAGGAGGGAAGATGGAAGTCTAGAAGGACTGGAATGGAACTGGGTAAACTTGCTCATTGGCTAGCACTCTACCAATGGAGCCACTCCTCCAACCCTTGTAATCTGGTTCCTGTTTGTATGAGCACCAACCTAACTTTGTTTCTGGAACAAAGGTTTTCAATAGGTACTTCAGAATGACAGGATGTTGAGTGAATGCATTGGTATGACAATCTAGACCTTTCTTCAGCATAGAACTATAGGAAAGTACCACAAGAATCAGTTTTGTTGCTTCATGCTTGCTTGGCTGAGGTCTCAGTCTTTTAAAATTGTGCATTTGTAGAAATCTAAATTCCTATTTTCTTACTTTATAGATCTAAAGTAGCATGGATCTGCCTGTGGATGAATGGAAATCCTACATACTTCAGAAGTGGTCTTTACTCCCAAAGGCTGTGCGCGTAACAATTTCTACAGCAGAGACTTTGAGTGATATCTTTCTTCACTCCTCTTCCCTTCTTCAGTAAGTGAATGGGAGCTTTAGCCAGGGAAATGTCTTCTTTTGTCATTTGCTCTGAAGTTGTATCTCTTTTTGATGCAAAGACAATTCAGACACTTATATTTGAGGCATGTAGCAGTTCTTGCCGTCTTTACAGTTTTGTTTTGTTTTTTCCTAGCCAATGATTATAAAAGAGGTATAAATGATGTTTGCTTTTTAGGTTTCTATGTTACATTTCAGTAATTCAGTGTCAGCCAAACACTATAATTCATGCCTGTAATTCCAGCTATTGGGGAGACAGAAACAAGATGATTTAACGGCAGAGCTCAAATGATACAGCATAAGTTAAAAGCCCCCCCAAATTTTAAACAATCAGTGCCTTGCTACAGTCACAAGGCTGTGAGCCTTGCTGTTTCTCAAGGGATATAGCAGAGATTTTCTAGCTGTGCACTAAAATTCCTAAGTGCTTAAATTTGGAAGAGTTCTTAGAAGTGATATAATCTAATTCCAGTAATTTTTAAACTCTACATTTTTTAATGAGGAATACATTTTATATTACAACCTAGTAGACAGGTGAGAAGTTAGGCCAGAGTGGGAGGAAAGGATGGAGAGAAGCACTTAGATTCTGAGGTTGATTTAATAGCAGTTCCTGAAATGGGATGTGCAGTGTTAGAATGTGAATAAAAAGGGATTTGGACCATACAAAATAAAAGGTAAAAGGACAATCTCATCATCATTTGAGAGACTTGGGAAGGAAGATCAAACCTTCATATTTCAGTTTCTAGTGTTACTAGACATCCATATAGAGATGTCCAAATGAACTTGGGATTCACAAAAGAGACCTATGGTAGAGATACAAATGTGTTGGTTGTATTTAGCATTTTAAACCATAAGACTGGAGTTCACTAAGCAAGAAAGTTTATCTATTACATTTAATATGCTTTGATATTTTCCCTTTTACTTTTTTCATTCTAAGAATGCTAATCAGAATGCACTAAATTAATTTCATGACCCACTGATTTGTAACCTGAACTTTGAAAATTGTGGCAAAAATATCTAAAGCTGCGACTGTAGGTGGGACCCAAGTGGTAGAGCACTTGCCTAATAAGCATGAGACCCTGAGTTCAGGACCACCAGAAAAGAAAATTAATAAAATTAAAAATTTTTAAAATGTCTAGGGGGCTGGGATGTAGCTTAGTGGTAGAGTGCTTGCCTACCATGCATGAAGCCCTCTCTGTATCACATAAACAGAAAAAGCTGGAAGTGGAGCTGTGGCTCAAGTGGTTTCTAGCCTTTAGCAAAAGAAGCTCAGGGACAGTGCCCAGGCCCTGAGTTCAAGACACAGGATTTACAAAAGAAAAAAAAAAAATGTAACACTTCATAGGGCTGGGCACCGGTGGTTCACACTTGTAATACTAGCTACTCAGGAAGCTGAGATCTGAGGTTCTCAGTTCAAAGCCAGCCTGCTCAGGAAAGTCTGTGCGACTTTTTTTTTTTTTTTTTATCTGGTCGTTGGGCCTGAACTCTGGGTCTGGGCGCTGTCCTTCAGCTCTTCAGCTCAAGGCTAGTGCTCTACCACTTGAGCCACAGCGCCACTTCCGGCTTTTTTTCTTTTTGCTTATGTGGTGCTGAGGAATTGAACCCAGGGCCTCAGGCATGCAAGGCAAGCGCTCTACCACAGAGCCAATTCCCAGCCCTCTGTGCGACTCTTATTTCCAGTAAACCACCAGAAAACCAGAAATGGCCCTGTGGCTCAAATGGTAGAGTGCTAGCCTTGCACTGAAGAGCTCAGGGACAGCGCCCAGGCCCAGAGTTCAAGCCCCATGATTGACAAAAACAAAAAACAAAAAAGCTTTATAGGATCTCTGAGTTTCCTTTACAAAAATTTAGAAATAATAATGAACTGCATATGTAACTGTGGATAATAGGCAGGATTTTCCCAAGATAAATCAATGAGGTTTACTAATTGAAAAATGCTACCTAGCAATAGGTGTGGTACACTGACAGGAACATAATGAAGCATATTTGCCTGGACAAATCCTCAAAACACCAGCCTGGGCTCTCTTCCCCTTCTACTCTATTCTCCACTGAGCTAGTCACATTCGCATGTACCTGAATTTTTTTGCTCAAGACTAGCATTCTACCACGTGAGCCACAGCTCCACCTCAGCATTTTGCTGGATACTTGGAGATGAGAGGCTCATGGACTTTCCTGCCAAGGCTGTCTTTGAACCTCAATCCTCACTCAGACCTCAGCCTCCTGAGTAGCAGATTTACAGGCACAAGCCACTGATACCTGGCTCTTAAAACTTGTATGTATGTACTCTTAAGTTTTATCTTCAGCCCTGACCTCTCTTCTGAGACCAAAATCTCTGAATCCAGCTGACTACTTTAAAAGCTCATAGCTAATTAAGTTTCAATATATCCAAAACTCAAACATGCAATTTTGTTTTCAAAATTAGATTTCCCTCCAGTGGCCTCTTTCTCAGTGAATTATACTGCCTTACATTCCTAAGCTAGAAACATAAGAGCTATTCTATATTTAAAAACAAAAACTTGCTACATCCCCCAACCTATATCAGATCATCTCCTGTAACCCTTTAGTGAATTGCACCAGTATCCATCTGGTCGTTACCCAGAAACCTAGAAGTCATACCTATGTTTCCCTTTTTCTTCACCCTCCATATTAAATCTCAAATCATGTCTGTTATACTACCCTTAATGCTGGCTTGCTTTCAGATTTGTCAAATAGGACTCCTGCTTCTGGGTAGATCACAGCAGGTAATATTCCCAAGGCAACTAAAATAAGTGTATACTGTAATAAAATTATTTTTCAAGCCATCTGATAGCAAGGATTAGATGGACTTAAATTCCAGAGAGGAAAGACTGTTTCCTAGATGATCATTAGCCATTTTTTTTCCTGGGGGTAATTGCAGACTGAGGAATCAGGCTAGGCTCCAGCAAAGGGACCATCCTAGAAGAAATAGAAGCCAGTAAGTAGATCTCTTTAGTCATTTGTGGCTGATAAGATGGATTGGAAACTAGAGGAGTCGCAAACTGAATGCAAAGTCAATTTTCCTCAATTCTCAGGAAGTATAGGAGACCATCAAAAAAGAATGAATTCTGAAGTCCTATAATCCAGAGAAACAAACTCCTACTGGTAGAATGGACTAGACTAGACACAAATATCAAGACACTGCCAGATTTTAAATACCCGTGGAGTGGTAAGCTAAAGATGTAAGCTTAACACTTCCTGTACCAAAACTTTGAGGCCTGAGGAAAAGAGGACCTTCAACCAAGTGAGAAACCAGAACTGCACTAAATTTCTTTCTTTTCCTCTCTCCCTCTCCCTTCCTTCCTCTCTTCTCTTCCCTCCCCTCCCCTCCCCTCCTCTCCTCTTCTCTTCCCTTCTATTTTCTATCTAAATTCTGGGATTAAAAGTATATACCACGGGGCTGGAAAGGTGGCTTAGCGGTAGAGCGCATGCCTTGCATGCCAGAGGCCCTGTGTTGGATTCCTCAACACCACATAAGCAAAAAGAAAAAAGCTGGAAGTGACACTGTGGCTCAAGTGGTAGAGCGCTAGCCTTGAGCTGAAGAGCTGAGGGACACCGCCCAGGCCCAGAGTTCAGGCCCCATGACCGGACCCAAAAAAAAAAAAAGTATATACCACAACAACCAGCTAGGCTGGTATTCTACCACTAAGACTGTTCTTTTTTTTTTTTTTTTTGGGTCCGGTCGTGGGGCCTGAACTCTGGGCCTGGGCGCTATCCCTCAGCTCTTCAGCTCAAGACTAGCGCTCTACCACTTGAGCCACAGCACCACTTCCGGCTTTTTTCTTTTTGCTTATATGGTGCTGAGGAATCGAACCCAGGGCCTCAGGCATGCAAGGCAAGTGCTCTACCACTGAGCCACCTTCCCAACCCATACCACTAAGACTGTTCTATCTACAGCCCTGTTTTCACTGGTTATTTTTGGGATAAGGTCTCACTTTCTACTTGAGAACATGTCTGAGCCACAATCTGCCTACTTTAGCCTTCCCAGAGTTGCTAGAATAATAGGTACAGGCCTACCACATCCAGCTTCCTTCTGTGAAGATGGAGTTTGGTGGACTTTCCTGTCTAGACTGGCCTCAAACTGGGATCCTCCTGCTCTCAGCTTCCCAAGTAGTTAGGATTACAGACATAAGCCACTAGCATCAGACTTCAAATCAATTCTTGATTGGATTGAGATAGGCCCACTCCTTTTCCTCTATGTTATATATAGGCAAAGAGGTATCTTTAACTAGTTGTTTAACTAGAGGTATGTTAACTAGTTGTTTTGTTTTGTTGCCAGTCCTAGGGCTTCAACTCAGGGCTAAGGCACTGTCCCTGAGCTGCTTTTGCTCAAGCAACCCTACCACTTGAGCCACAGCACCACTTCCAGCTTTTCTGTTTATATGGTACTGAGAATCAAACCCAGGGCTTCATGCATGCTAGGCAAGCACTCTACCAGTAAGCCACATTTCCCAGCCTGATGTTATCTAGTTTTATTATATGTTCTGTACAATGTCAAAGATGCAGAAAAGAATTACTAGATATGCAAAGTTACATTAAAAAATGACCAATAACCAGAGGGAAAAAATAAACATTAGAACCAGACTGAGGGCAACATATTAGGAGTTAATACACTACTATTTTTATTTATTTATTTATTTTTTGGGTCCAGTTTTGGGGCCTAAACTCTGGGCCTGGGCACTGTCCCTCAGCTCTTCAGCTCAAGGCTAGCGCTCTACCACTTGAGCCACAGCGCCACTTCTGGCTTTTTTCTTTTTGCTTATGTGGTGCAGAGGAATCGAACCCAGGGCCTCATGCATGCAAGGCAAGCGCTCAACCACTGAGCCACCTTCCCAGCCCTACACTACTATTTTAAACAGCACTTCATGAATGGCCCATCCTTTCCCCTGTGCTTCAAAAAGCTACACTTGCTGAAAATTAAATTTGCACTTATGATAAATTTGTCTATAGACTGTATCTGCTCTAAAACC